CAGCGCGCCGCTTCCCAGCTGCCCGTAGCAGGGTCAGCGCGACCTGTTCAGCCAGTAACTTGCTTGCCAAACTGGATGATTTTATTGTTATTTTTCTCATCGATCTCCCAGCCATTATAGAATCATACACCATCCACACGCAGCCCGTGGCCGGCAGCCCAGCCAGCAACCCGGCTTCTCCTTCAGTACCACCAGGTCAAGCGTTGCCTCCTTGGTTGTGCCCAGACAGTAATTTGTGACTACGCATGTATTAACTTTAGGGAATTAATTCATTTTCTTGCAACATTAGAGGTTAATTAAACACTGGCTAATTGCTACCAGTCATTGGAGGAATTCTGCTCCTGAGTCCTTTCATGGCCTGAATGCACCAAAGGAAGAAAAAAGGAAAGAAAGAGGGGAAGAACGAAGCCCTTTCAAGACCACAGAAAATTGCAAAAGGATGTTTCTTCCAACCCGACATGACAAAATTGAATTCCAAGCTATTTAATGCATGCACGAAACGCCATAGAGAAACCCAGCCCGAGCACTCCATCCATCACGACAGGGAAAAGGGGGTTCATAACACGAGCACTCGCCACGGCACCGACTCTGTGCTTCAAACTCCAGACTTCCAGGCAATTTCGCTTAAAGGTAACGACCAGATTAAGGATTCTCACAGACAGGGCTATCGCCAGCATTTCCATGGGACGTACAGCTAAGGGAACACTGCGATTATGATCAACATTAACGATGGAGGCCTCGGGAAGCCACTGTCCTGGGCAGTGATGGAAGCCCCGCTCAGTCCGCAGGGCCACCACGGCCAGGGTCACGGCGCAGCCCCCGTCCCCTCCCCGCTGGGGAGGGAGGAGTGTGGGGGTCCCGGTCCCACCATGGGCACAGTGGCCTGGCCCAGCCAGTGGCATTTCGGGAGTGAAAAACCAGCCCCGTGGGCAGGGGCACGGGGAGCCATCTGGGTTTGTCCTTAAAAATGGGGTTTCACGGGTTACACCGTCACGAGGATGATGTCATGCAGCCTGACAAAACGCCCCTGCCTGCCTCAGACCGGCGTGGTTCGTCTGTTGGCCGGGTTGTTGTGCAAAGACTCCTTGAACTCTTTGGGGATGGAGTTATGGACCTGTAAAAAACCGTGGTCCCGCTCCGAGTTGAGCAGCGTCCCCATGGTGACCTTGGAGGGATCCCTGGAGAGGGTGAACATGGAGATGTCGGTGGAGGGGATGGTGCTGAACCCCTTGCTGACAGGCGACATGTCCCGGGACCGGGGCTCAGTGGAGCGGGAGCTGGACCGCCGGCGGAAGCGGTACCTGTAGGGGGGGAGGCGGGTGAAGGCCGACTTCTTCAGCAGCTCCGAGTGGGACTTGGCACGGATCTGGCGGTGCTTCTCAATGTACATGTGCACAGCTATCACCCCCACCATCTCGGCGATGATGAAGGACAGGGCTCCAAAGTAGAAGGACCAGCCGTAGGAGTAGCTCTTCTTGGAGTCGCTCTGCCCGGGGTCCCCTGCGTTGGCCGAGATGTAGACTATAATCCCGATGATGTTGCTGAGACCTTTAGGGGGGGAACAAGAGGGAGAGGCGCACACTTGAGCAACAGGAGAAGGACAGGGATGGCAGCACCCACCCTGATCCCCTCCTGGCAGCAAAGGGACACAGGCTGGAGGAGCCTGGCCCTCCTCCTGCCCACCACGACCCGGCAGGCGGGGAGGGTGCTGGGGGCCACAGCCACATCCCCATGGGCTATCAACCCACCTTCCAGCACACCAGGGCCAAAACCCCTCACAGACCGCTGCTGCTGTCCCCAGCACACATCTACAGTCGCATGCCCCCAGCATATTCACGTATACCCGAGAAACAGGAGGAACAACCGCTGTTTTGTTTAGAAAACATTTCAAGAGCTGGTTTTGCTCTGCAGAGCTGCTCGCTAAGCAATGGGCTGCAGGAGCCCAGCCGGGGCCAGGGCTGGGGCTCGGGCAGAGCCAACCCACAGGGCACAGAGGGGATCCCTCTGGCACGAACCCCGGCTTGCCTCAGCCCTGGCAGCACAAGGAAGCGGGAACGGCTCTGTCTCTTCATTTCTGGTGGAGCCCAGAGGCTTTTTTTGGGATCCGGGCAGTTTTTGCACCGCCAGCAGCGCTGCGGGGCTGTGCTGCAGCGCTGGGGAGCGGTTGATGTATTCCTGGATTTACTTAATGAATCAATTATGTTCTTTCTGTTGTTTTCTCATCTGCATCGGCAGCTCCTGCCAGCCGAACGAGGGAGAGTAATTTGTCTCTTTGTGGGGAGAAGAAAAACACAAAATAGAGCAGTTCCTTGAGACAAAGACATTGTCATACGATAATCAGCGGAAGCGGTGGGGAACAGCGTGCAGAGAAATGAGTAATCCAGGAGGAACGGCCTCTCAAGAGAGCGATTCTCCTTGCAGGACTGCAGCAGCCCCGCTGCCCGGTCCCTGGTGCTGCCGGGGCAGCGCCTGCCCTCGCCAGGCCCTGCAGACCCGCTGCTTGGCAGTGACAGAGGGCAGAGCCCCCCAAAACCTGCCCCGGGGCCGGGTGCTCCCCCAGTGCGGCGGCTGCACTCTGGGAGCCCCTCTTGGGCTGCAGCGCCCATGCGGGGCAGAGCCGGGTGGATGCTTAAAGCGCTACCTTGCACGGCAACTGCTTGCCGGAAACCTCTGCTGTCTTTTCCCTGCCATGAGGATTTTTTCCACCAGGACGGGACATTTCAGGAACCCCAGAACCCCTCTGTGCTGACGGCCTGGGAGGACCCACAATCTGCCTCCCTCTTCCCCGTGTCCTCCCACACTGGGAGAGCTGCCCCACTCCTGATCCCGCCAGGCAGCTCCTACCTGCAGAGACGAAGAAGATGCCGGCGCTGAGGATGACGTTGTGTTTGCTCTTGTAGAACTCGCTGGCCGCCACGCACAGGCCCCCGAAGAACAGCAGACCCACGCTGAGGATGGGGAAGATGCTGGACGCTCTCACCGCACCTGTGGGACAGGGAGGGGGGCAGGGTTGGCTCCCGGCATCGCTCCTGCAGCTGGGGCTGCCGGCATCTCCCGCACCAATGCCAATGCCCGGAGAGAGCTGTTGCAACGCCGTGCTGGGTTGCTGCCGCAAGGGATGGGGGAGACCCCAGCACCGGTCCCCCTCTATGCATCCTCTGCTTGTCCCCAAGCCGCTCTGCTCCGGGCTTGCTCTGGAGGCCAGCATCAGCCCTGCAAACCCTGTGATTCAGGCCTCCCATCACAAAAAGAGTTTAAACCCTGAATTTCTTCTTTTTTTTTTTTTTCCCTTCGAGGCTATTTCAAGGAATTCTTCCTTCCAGCCTTGTCGCACAGTCAGCACTAGCAATTTACCTTCCCATTACCAAACACAACACCCGCGGGTTTAGGCTGTGGCTGTGACTCTGGGTGGAGCCTGGGGATCGCAGAAACCCCCCAGATCTCAGCTGGCTGCCCTGCCAACCGCGAGGGTCAGGAACCCGTCCCTTAGGACCCCAAACTATTGCAGCTGCTTCAGAAGTCAAGAATTTACCAACTAACACACCTGAAGTTCAACAAAAAAGTCGTTTGCTGATGTAGGGGAAGGAACATCATCAAAACGAACACAAAGCCCGAGCCCCCGAGACCAGCACGTGTGGTGCTGTGACCCCGGCACTGGGCTCCATCCCCAGGGGCTTAACTTTGGCAGGGCCCTTCTCTGCACACTCAGGAGTCGCTGGCCAAGGGCTACACAAAGAAGGGTCTTTTCTACATGGCCTGTCAGAAGTTCAGCTTCCAAAATGACAATAAACAGTAATTAATGCAGCAAATCACTACCTGCTGCAGTGAAAATATGCCATGCCTTGGTTTGGGCTCTCATCACTCTATTAGGGCCTTTATTAAAAGCACAGAAATACAGAGCAGCCCCATTAAAATGCCATTCTGGGGGCTTTAAAATAGACTTTTTGTTTTAAATGTGGGAGGGGGTGGGAGAAGAACTTAAAACGCTAATCTACTGAAAGTGCAAACCAATTTCATTAAACGCGTTCCCCTCTTAGATGGGTGAGCAGAGCTGATGGCTCCCTGCAGAGGTAGAAAATGGGGAGTTCAGAGCAACATCTGGATCATCATCAGCAGCAGCAGGTGGGGGCCACTGCCTGGCCCCAGGGAACGGGGCCGAGGCCAGGGCGATGGGCACTGGCGGCCACTTCACCCCTGGGGATTCCTCCCAGCCAGAGATGCCAACGCCTCCCAGGCTGCCACATGCCCC